GCAGCAGGAATGGGTCAAAAGTGGCAGGGTCCCCAATGTGTCAACTAGAAAGAGAACTCTCTGAAAGGCAGACTATGCAAAGCTCAAAAATCTGTAAGAGATGACTACCCTCATCTTGGCTGGATGGAAGCTGTGTTGTTGGAGGCTGAGGAGGAGATGAGATGAACCCTGGCATCCTGTTCCAGCTCAGCCTGAACCCTGAGGCTGGAGGAAAGTTAAGGCAAGATCTTGGCCCATCATTGGCCCCAGCCCTATCCCATGCACAAGTGCAGGCTAATGGAGCTTATGGGAGCCCAGATGCCCAGCTTCTCCTGGGCACTCAAACCTGCACCCAGCTCCCACCTCACTCCCAGCTGAGCCTGAGAATGGGTAACAGCAGTACCACTTTCCCATTTTCTAAGTCCTTTTCCACCACATGCAGTCTGACGGCCTTGACCAGGCCAGAGTTCCACAGCAAACGTCTCAGTATCTATCCTGGGAACACTAAGTCCTCAGCACGCCCCACACTCACTCCAAACACAGAACTGAAGGGACATCAAAGGCAGAAAGTTGAAGAAAGCCTTTGCCCATCCCCTCCATCCACCCCCAGACCTATCCCGGGTGTGAGCAGACATGATGATGCTGGGGACACAGCCCTTCCCTCCAATGAATCACAACCTTACACCCCTAGCACCCCAAGGACTTGAACCCAAAGGTCACCCCTTCAGCTCTGATCCCTCTTCAGCTCTGACCACCTGGATCTTTCTCCTCCATGTTTACTTCAGCTAACCTCTGTGCCCTTCCCCATTCCTTAGGTTCAGGCCAGAAAAGCTAAAAGCCTAGCTGGGGAGCAGCTGCCTGGCATCTGGAAGATTGTTCTAGCAACAGGAAATATCTGAGGGGCTGTAGGGGAAGCAGGGACAGAAGGGGCAGAGACACAGGGACTTGGGCTCAAGCCCTGACTCAAGCTGCATATCAAATGTGTGTTGTGAAGACTTCTTCTAGGGGAGAAACCAGATTTTGCACTGCATCTTAAAGAGTGGTAGTAAAGCAGGGGAGAGAGGAGGGACAGAGCAGTAGGGGCACCCAAAATGGAGGATGAGCTCCCAGCTTGGAATCAGGAGCCTTAGGGTCCAGTTCCAGCTCTGCCATTCACTTGAGCATGTATGTCATTTGCTTCTGTGAGTTTCAGAGCTGTTATCTGAGCTTCCCCATTTGTACAATGATGGGGCTTTCAGGGGTTTGGAGACCCTCTATCCCACTGGAGACAGAGGAGAGCACAGCATGAAGAGGAAAGAAAGGTGATGTACTGGGCAGGTCAGGAGAAACTGGGTACAGTAAAGTTAAGAGTTCTCTCCTCCCCCGGGGTCCTGCAAAATGAAGTGGGAAATGGACCCCCTAAGCCCAACCCACTGCCCTGGTGCCAGGACCAGTCCCACACACCACCCGCCACTGCCCTGGACAGCTCTCTGTCCAAGGAGCTAGGAGTGGCACCCCTGTGGTAAGAGGTCGGCAGTTCCCAAGGCCAGTGTGGCACAGCTGCCCGGGATTAGTGCAAAACCCTGAGCTGCTTGGCAGAGATCACACATCGTGATAAGACTCGAATCAGCTTAGCTCACCTGCCCACACCCCTCAGCTGCCCCTTACCAGCCCCTCCTCACAAGCACCCAGCAGTCTCTCTTCTCAGAGGAAAACTGGGACCCTGCCCCTGCCCAAGCAAGCAAAGGGAAGGGGGATGTGAAGGAAAGGGGCAAACAAGGTCAGAGTCACCCCCAACAAACACCTAACACCCTCAGAAGCCCCCAGGAGCTCCTACATACACAGCTGAACAGAGGGGCGGGACAGTACAGACATCCCCCACTCTCCCACTTATCCCCTGGGGCTCCGCCTGAGGTGGCCTTGGCCTGGTTTTACCTTGTGCTCTGGGCCACCCAGGCCCTTCCCTCCAGATGGTTCCTGTCCTTGGAGAGACAGAGGCAGGAGACCCACACAGAGCTCCCACAGCTGGGAATCCTCAGCTCCACTTCCTGGAGCAAGGCACTCCTGAGGCCCCCCAGCTGTGGGAATCTTGCCATCTTCACACCAACCCACAGTACAGAAGGCATCCTGCTCTGGGCTACATTTGTTTCCAAACCTAAGCAGGGGCCCAGCGCAGGCAGCCCCCAAGTTCACTCAGACATCCAAGATGCCTTAGGGAGAGGCCACACTGGGCAATGTTACTCAGATCCCCGTCCAGGGAAAAAAGCTTCAGGAAGGACCAGCTGTCTGCGTTCTTGTGGCTGTTGTTTCTCCTCAGTCTTCAGCACAGAGGGCAGTGTTGGGCCTTAGTACCTGGTGGGGAGAGGCCAGCACTAGGGAAAGGCTTCAGACTCCTTCCTCTTTGATCTGTGTGCTGTGTCCTGTCCCATGTTAAACAATGACTGTCTGTTCCTACAAAAAGGACAGAAGGGGAGGGGGAGGCTTAGAGTGGGAGGAGAGGCTGGCTGCTTCAGAGGCCAATTCTCAGGAGGAAGTCTCATCTGTCCCACCCCTCCCCGAGTTGCAGAGGAAGGTGGGGAAAGCAGCCTTGCTGAAGAACTGATTCCGTAAAGAAAGTTGCCCAACTGCACCCAGAGAGGTGCCCTTAACAAGGGTAAAAGGTTTTGCCATGCCCTCCTCCCTTTCTCCCTCTGGATGTACCCTGGGCCTCTCACCTGTGTGAGGCACTTTCGGAAAGGCCTCTGCTCTGCAGCTGCCGCAGGGTACACTCTGGGAGACTGCGACTCTCCGGCACTGCTTCCACTGCTTTGCACTTAGGAATCTTCATCACCTTCGCTGGAGCCACCAGGCTCAGCCTCATGGGATGCAGGACGTTCTCGGGCCAGCAGCGCACTTAGGCCTTGGGCACGGAGGAGAAGGCCTCCACCCAAGAAGAGGATTCCGCAGAGCACAAGCAGGGACAGCACGCCCAGCACCACAGCCTGCACTATGCCAGCTCCCCCTCCCTTGGGGAGCTCCAGAGGCGCCCCGGACTGGTTGCAGCAGCTCAGCCAGGCGGCCTGGGCCGCAGAGCCCACCTGTGAGCTGTTCATGCTCCTGTGCCACCAACTGCCCAGATGTGCGAAGTACCACCAGATGTGCAGGGAGCTTGAGAGACGTGCGGTGGGTGGGCAGAGGGATTCAAGGGGCGGGTCTCAGGAGCAACACTAGCCACTCTGCTTGCACATAGCGCTTAGGCCCCTCCTAGGCAAGAGGGCTCCTACAGTGTGGTCTGTGGTTCCCTCTCCAAGGCCAGGCTCCTAGGCCTGGTGTATTTCTTCTCTTCATCCCCAATGCCCACACCCACCTTTACAAATCCATCCAGTCCAACCTTGGTGCCCTTGTCCCCAAGGCTCTCCTCCTTTGGCAAAGGGCAAGAGCTAGCCCTCAGGGTTTCTCAAAGTCCATCCAATGTGCTGACTGAGGTGCTGCACACTCTGAGCAGGACACAGTAAAAAAATCTGTCTCTGGACCAAAGTTCAACAATGCTAGGTGGCCCCAGTGGCTTTAAGAAGGCCTTAAGAATCTAAGTGCCTCCTCTAGACTCCAGGACAGAGAAAGATGGAGGATAGAGCTGTTGCTCTCTAGATTTCGGGCCTACCCCCCATCCTTTTCTCCTGCCCCTGGCCAAGTAGTCCTATTTATCAACAGCAGAGCACAGATCTGACCCATCATGTGCCCCACCCCTAACTTAGAGGATCAGGATGTCAAAAGGGATGGCGACAGTACTGTACTGTCCACCAAGTGTAGCCCACTGCCAGCTGGGCATCCATTCTATGGCCAGCCAGGGTAGAGAGTGGAGTGGAGTGGAGTCTGCATGCAGAAAAGCAGAAAGTCTGAAAAGCAGGGAAGGAAGCAAGACCTCCTTCCCAGTCTCCAGGGAGATTCTGCAGCAAGCTTTGAGTGCTCTTTTCACAAATAAAGTCTCAGACTGGAGACATGACTCAAGCACCTGCTTTATAGGCACAAAGTCAATTCAAACCTGGTCCCACAGGTGATACAGGCAAGCACCTATATCACCAATGCCTCAGAGGAAAACAAGAATTCCAGACTGCAGCTGGTGGAGTGGCTCAAATGGTAGAGTGCCTGTCTAGCAACCATGAGGCCCTGAGTTCAAACCCCAGCACCATCAAAAAAATAAAGAAAATAAAGAATCCCAGACTGCAGCGAGTCAGGTAGACTTGCTGAGCAAGTGCCTTCCCCAACTCCATACCACCTCAGGAATCCTCTTCCTCCAGGATGTCCAGAGATCATGAAGAGGACATCACAAAACCCGTCTGGAAACAACCTGATGTGGCCTGGGAAAAACATGCAAACACTTCATAGCCATCCTGGCTACCTACATGCTCCAAGACAATGAGCAAGACCCCCTCCCCCTTAGTTCTCCTTCCTATATACAATTCAATTAGTCAGGTTAACACTGCCCCAGATGTGGCAAAAAAAAAAGCATTGCAAAATATGGACTAAATCAATAAAATCAACTACACAAAGCTGAATGCGCTTGTGTAAAAATGAGTGGAGTTACCAAAGCAATGTCCTAAGAATATGAAGGAAGCTCAACCTGGAAAAAGTGATCACCAGACACCTTAAGTAAGTTTTAAGCTGACCAATCTCTCCTCAGACACCCCATATCAAATGACTTTCTGGTATAGACAGGGACTTAAATGTGTTCTAGTAAGATAAGGAAGGTATTTTTCCTATATAGAATAAAGGCCAGGGATGTCATGGCTTCCTTAAGAAGACAAACTGCTCAGTCACATACAAAAGCAACAGACCCTCACCCATGGAACTAACCATGATAACATATGGGTGGTAGTACCTGCTTTTGTGAATGTCCAACAAAGTGCAAATTCTGTCAGTTTTAATCTAACTTTAGTCCCATCCATCCACTCCACTCAGCTGTAATAATGCCCTTGACATACTCCTGTGTCAAGAATGCCAAAGTGTTAATGCTGTAGGGAAGGACATAGGCCAACGGAAAGCTGGTTGAACTCAAATCCACATCTCAATTTTATTCACCATCCTCATGGTAGCTTTTCTGTACATGGGAGAAGGAAAGGGGACACACCCCAATGGTGTGGAGAGACTGTGGGCTGGACTTTATCCTCAGTCAAGGTTACAGGGGTGACAGTGGTTGGCAACCACAAAACAAGGAAGCCAGGGCTGCCCTTCACCAAGTCTCACCAAGGACCCAGAACAGGTTCCACAGCCTCAAAGGCCTGGCAGTGCAATTCCCAGAAGGCACGGTCTGGGAACCAAGATCAAAGCTCCAGCAAGGCCTAGAGGGCAAGGGTGTCTTTGATAAGCCTGCGCATGGTGGTAGTGACCGAGGTGCCCAGGGCATCAGTGATCTGAAAGGAGATCTTGTACAGGTAGGGCTGCACGTCCCGCAAGCCTGTGTCAAACACGTTGTCCACCTCTGACTGCGTGGGCATCTTGGGCAGGTACTCATGCCGGTTCATCACCTCCACAATGTTGATGATTTTCTCACACAGCTTCTCACCCACTTTCTCCCGGCAGATCTGCCGCTCTTGCTCTGTGGCCAGGGCTACCACGTGAACCTTGACTGTCCACACTTCCCAAGGAATGCACTCATCTGAGAAAGGCCAGCGAGACTTCTTCTTCTGATAGAACTCCAAGGATATCTGGCCCAGCCCATCACCACCTGAGTTTCGCAGTGCATCCTGGGGAAGAAAGAATAACAAGGTGAGCAGGCCAAGGCCTTTGAAGGGTTCTCCCCCTGTGAGGCCTCTCCCAGCTCTCATAGCCCTTCAGGCAGAGCAGAGAAGGAGACTCAGAGAGGGTAAAGGATTTATGTGAGACCTGGCTGCTCTTTCCTCGGGCTGCAGGCATGGTTCTCAAGTGGTAGAGCATCTGCCTAGCAGGCATGATGCCCTGAGTTAAACCTCAGTGTCACCAAGAAAAAAAAAATCTTGAGCTACCCATCAGGAATAGTCTCTCCTCCATGGACAAAACCAAGGTCACATGACCCTGACTGAGGGTAACAAAGGTTAACAGTTCTGTAAAACTTACTGTATGTCAGGCTCCTCTGTTCCAAACACTGGACACATCTGTCCCAATTAATCCTTGTAATACACCTTATGAGGTGAGTACGATTATCATTCCAATTTTACATCTGGTGGAGCCACCTACCCAAGGTCATAGGCTCTGTGGATGGTAGGGCCTGGCTCCAAAGTCCATGATCTTAACCACTTTACTCTGTGTTGCCTATCACTTTTTTTTTCTTCTTCTTCAGTACTGGAGGTTGAACTCAGGACCTCCCATTTGCTAGGCAGGTGCTCTACCACTTGAGCCATATCCCCAGCCATAGAGGTGTCAGAGAAAGAGCAATGACACCCACTGCACCGCTCCCAAAGGGACCAGACTACCAGCACTGTTTCCTACTCAACCTTCTTCCCTGGGGATTTATGCATAAATCCCCATCCCTACCACACCCAGACACATAAGCCCTCTCCTCAGAGATCTCAACACACTTGTTCCTTAGAGCCTAAAAGAATGTGACTTACACTCCCAGGAAGAGAAAACTGATCCAACAGCCAGTGAGGGTAGAGAAGCATCCCAGGTCCACCTGCCATTGTTGTATCACACACCTACCTTGAATTCCCCAACAACCTTGCGCAGAGCACGGTCCAGCTCTTCAGAGGAAACACGCACATAGGTGAAGTCAATGAAGTCACAGTCTACATCTTGGGTGCCCACGGTGCCGATGGAATAGGTACCTTCCTTCTTGTAGTGGAACTTGCCTGTGCTGCGGTGCAGTAGCACCGTGTGTAACACAGCCAGCATGGCTTCCTCCACCTGTCGCCCCTCCACGGACACCTCCAACACCTCCGAGCGACAATTCATTCTGCATCCAGTAACCAACACCAGAGCCAGGAACGAGGATGAAGACAGAGAGATTCGCCCCACCCAGGGGCAGGCCTGCAAAAGGAGCCCAGGTCAAAATGCTAATCCCTTCTGATCTCTGCATGGCCTCTAGTTACTTCTTGCTCAGCCAGCTCGGCTCCTGCCCCTGCTGGCCTTCTCTGCGTTTTGGCAGCACATTCTATCAAAGAACCACAGGCCTCCAAACCAGAAAGGGGCAGAATTTCAAATCACCCGTCCAAACACCGAAACAAAGATCGCATTCCATTTAAGACACTGTCAAGCACTGGCCTCGCAAAGGTAAACACAGACATACTACTGGGAACTGAGGGGACACAGGAAAGACAGGGAGGTAAATGTTCCCATGGTGGCAAGATCACAAGATGGGAGGAAGAACAGACTGGAATCTAATTTCCTAGGACCCTGAATGACCAGGTTAAGGTGTTGGGACTTTACCCACAGGGCAGTGAAGAGTCAACGCATCTCTGTGTCATGATCAAACGTGTGGGCTGAGGGCTGGTGGCTCACACCTGTAATCCTGGCCAGTCAGGAGGCAGAAATCAGGAGCATCACAGTTCAAAGCCAGCCGCAAACAAATGGTTTATGAGACCCTATCTTGAAAATGCCCAACACAAAAAAAGGGCTGGCAGAGTGGTTCAAGTGGTAGAGCCCCTGCCTAGCAAGTCTGAGGCCCTGAGTTCAAACCTCAGTGCCACCAAAAAAAAAAAAAAAATGGCTCTTAACTCCTTTAGGGCCACAAATTGCTTTAAAAGCCAGTAAAAGCTATGAAGACTGGGCTTTAAACGCTGAATGACACATGCACGTGCACATACACACCAAATCTGATTCATTTCTAGGGCCATCCAAGACTCCAGTGTAAAAATAGGTGGATTTAACCTAGAAAGGTTGGACAGCGAGACCAAGCAGAGGCCACTATAATAGTGACGGTTACAGAAACTGAACAATCAGGTGTGGGATGGTGAAGTGCACTGGGGAGGTTTCAAGTTCAGCAGTCCTGGGTTTGAATCCCAGATCTTCTACTTTTTAAGAGATTGGGTTCTCACTCTATTGCACAGACTGGCCCTGAACTCCTGGATTCAAGCCATCCTCCTGTCTCAGCCTCCTAGTAGCTGGGACTACTGCATCTGGCTCCCCTAGTTCTTGCTCTGCACTATGGTTTGCATCTTTTGGAGATTTTGGCAGTATAGGGGACTTGAACTCAGGGCCTCACACTTGCTAGGTAGGCACTCTACCATTTGAACCATGCCCTCAGCCCTGGTTAAATGGTTCTCAAAGACCATGTGTTGTATGCCTGTTGCCAATCTGTAGTGCTATGGGAACTGTTGGAATTTTTAAGAGGTGGGCCTAGGGAAGGAAGGAGTTTATTAAGAGCATGCCGTTAAAGAGACTAGTGAGACCCCAACCTTCCTCTTCTTCTTGCTTCCTGACTGCCGTAAGGTGAAATGAATAGCTTTGTTCCACCACATGTTCCCAGCCATAATATTCTATATACCACAGGCCCAAAAGTAAAGAGCCAGTCAACCATGGACTGAAACCGTGAGGCAAAATAAATCTCCCTTCCTTTTAAGTCTAAGTTGACCAACACACTCTGGGACCCTAAGCAAATCACTCAACCTCTCTAAACTTTGGTTTTCTACCTGTAAGATGAGATTGTAGCAAGAATGAATGTATAGCATAACATGCTTGTTAAGACTCAAAAGCCAGGCCGCCTGGATTGGAACCCCAGGTCTGCCACTGCTCCTATATGAACTGCTTAACACCTATGTGCCTCAGTTTCCCCATTGATAAGGAGATGGTAGGGCTGGGGATATAATTCAATGGTAAAGAACTTGCCTAACATGTACAGGCCTGCACTGAAAAACAAAAAAAGATAGTAATAATAGCTGCCTTCAAAGAAGTGTCTAAAGGGCTGAATGAGTTACAGGTGTAAACCACTTAAAACAGAAGTACACTGACAAGCACAATGCATGTACAGGCAAAAATCCCACTGACCAGCGAACGAACACCTGAACAATGAAGGACAAGAATGAAAAACAGGTCATGCTAAGGGGAGGGCACTGGCAGAGAGGGAGGGTGAAAGGAAGAAAGAAAGTGATGTACTTTCCATACAAAAATAAATATAGAATTTTTAAAACTGTTGAAGTCACCATAAGAAGAGAACTAAGGCCAGGTGCCGATGGCTCACGCCTGTAATCCTAGCAACTCAGCCCAGGCAAATAGTTCACGAGACCCTTATCTTGAAAAACCCTTCACAAAAATAGGGCTGGTGGAGTGGTTCGAGGTGTAGGACCTGAGTTCAAGCCCCGGTACCACAAAAAACTAAATAAATAAAAAAGACTAAGGTAGAAAGGGGAAAAAATGGAGGGGATGAACCAATTCAGGATACAATACATATATGCATGGATGGAAATGTCATAATCAAACTCTCTATACAGGTATCTTAAACAAAAATGTCTTTTTTTCCCTTCAAAAACAGGACAGGAACGTAATTCAGGTCCTGTCTGGGGGTTGGTACCAGTGGGAAGGGGCACGATATAAGGAAAGGGTGTGGGAGGGTGAATATGATGGAAATATGTACTCATGCATGAAAATGGAAACATGAGACCTGTTCCTGTTGGAACTATTCTAAGAAATGAGGAGAGAGGGGATAAAGGAGAATGATGGGAGAGGGTGAATTTAACTAAGATATATTGTAAGCACTTCTGTAAATGTCACAACATACCCCCAGTACAGCAATGATAATTAAAAAAAAAAAAAAACAGGAAGTACCTGGCAAGTAGTAAACATTCACTAAACATTAGCCAGTGTAATTCATTATATTGTTACTGCCTAGAGATGATGCAAGGCTATGCTAAGACAGAAATCTTCCCTCCTTTTAAGCCCTTTGTGTCAGATATTTTGTCAGACAAAAAGCTGACGAACACACTCTGGGACCTTAGATTTGAGAACCAGAACTTAGTAAGTAACCAAATATGAGCCCAGAAAGAGAATAAACACTCAAGTTTATTGTAGCTGTGTGTTGAGCTTGCAAATGTCCCCTGACAGGGAATTCACTACCTCTCACAGCAGACTGTTCTAGCATTAGACAGTTTCATTGTTCTTCCTTCTACATCTTGTACTTCAAACCACTGGGATATCTGTAGCTACATAAAATAAGTCTCACCCCTTTTTCCACAAATGAGCTTTTCAGATACCTTGAGATGACAGTCATTGAGTCACCTACTCACCCCTTCTACAAGTTCAAGGTACTCAGTCCCCTTAAATAAGTGTACTCGGTATCCCATCTTATCTCCTGGGGTCCTGGCGGCTCTCCTCTAAGTATATTTCCATTTGTCTCCCCCCTCCTTACACAGCAGTGCTCAACACTGGAAACAATGCAGCAGTCTGTGAACTGCTCAGAGATCCGGCTGGCCCTGCCTCTAAACTGGCCATAAGTTGGACCTACCTGTAAAAGCAGTCTTCTTTCTGCCTCTTCCACTAGGCAGACAGTTCCTTGAAGGCAGGGGCCCCATCCTATTCATCTCTGTAAACCCACTTCCTACTACCCAATACCAAGTAACTACTCAAGGCATCCTAACCGAGGAATTCCAAGTCCTTCTGGGGTTACTGGGTTCGTTTCTCTTGATGGAGGCTGAGATAAGTTCTTGCCCATTTCTGTCCTCTAATTTAACTCTTCCGTCCTGCAGTTTCCCACCTAGACTCAACTCTGGCCCAGTCCCCTTTCTTCCAATTGCCCCTCCTGAGTTCCACCACAAACTTTCAAACAGGCCATATATCTCACTTTAGCCCCAAGTTCAGGCTCCTCCCTCAACTTCAGGGCTATTCTTGGAGCCACCCCTCTAGGAAGTCAGTACTGATCAGCCCAGCCTCCTTCCCACAACAGCCGTATTTGGGTGTCCCTCGCTGCGACGGTGAGCAAGCAAGCTCGTCCCTCTGGTCCCCCCTAAGGTGCAGAGACTGACAGGCACCTTCTTGGAGGCGGACTGGAACATGGCTGGAGCCAGGACTGCCCCTTTCCCACCTTACGTGTAAAGGCTGAAGGGCGGGGTCACTCGGGCTCTGCTCACCCTTCCTCCTCCCGCCCAGACACGACCTCTTCAGGTACGACCTCCTCAGGGACGAACTCCGCAGCCACGCTCCAACCTCCGCACGGACACTGAGCAGGGAGAGCCAGACTAAAAGCAAAGACAAAAGGCTACTCGACTCCGCATCGAGAACTCTGGCGGGGCGCAAGAAGCGCGTCCACCAGGCTCGCGTTCTCTGCCGCCGCTGCCCGGGAACCTCCACTGTCCAAGCGAGCCAGGAGCCGGCTCCTCGGACGTGAGACTCGGGAGTTCTAGGCGAGCCCTCGTGTCCGCCACCCCGAGGAGCGCCTACGCTCGCACAGAAGAGGAACAGTCGGTTAAAACGGTCCCTTACCTCCTCGAACTCCCGTCCCGGACCCAAAAAGCCACTTGGCAGCCTCCCGGCGGGCACCAAGACCACCACAGCAAGAACCGCTCCGCGACCGGAAGCCACACGCAGCCCCCGGGAGGGTGGTGCTCCGGGACGGCACCATCTGCGGCCGCGGGCGGGGGACGACCCGGCTCCGGCGAGCCCCGACAGCACTGCACCTGCCTCCCGCGTCCGGAAGCTCACACGAGAGCACGCAGATACATATTTACGAACTTCTCCGTAATCTGAGTGATGATTTTTTTTCTTGATTTTCCGTCGTGTTGTAAGACTTGATGGTAAGAAGTATCCCCCTCTTTTGGACTAGCCCATTCCCTCCCACCAGCGAGAATGTTGTTGTTTCGGCTAGAACAACTCACTTCCGCCATAGAGACGCGAGAGAAGGAGGGGCGGGGTGGACTCTGCGCTGCCTCGCGTGGCGGAAGGTTCACCGCTAACCTAACCCAGGCACGAAGACGTGGTCCCCCAACTCCGGACTGAGAGCCCTGGAGGAAGCACCGATCCTCACAGATCAGGCGCATAGCATTTGCAGATGAACGTACACCGGTGTACTGCGTGACGCTGAATGGACGGCAAAACTTAAGCTAGTCCAGTGTGCATAGTAAGCTGGTTCCTTGGCAGTCGACCCACACGAAGATACTGGAAGAAGGGCCTTAATCTTTCTGATGGTTATCTTACTGCAGTAGCGCTACCAGAGGCTCTACCATGACCGATCCGGTGACAAACAGTTCTTGTAAGGCTAATAATTTGTCTGTTGCTTCTCTGACATCATTTAACGTTTCTAATGTACTTTATAAACAAACGTTTCTATCTCGTTGTTGCAAGAGATAACTCGTGTGAAACACCGTTGTGACCTATAAAGTGTTATGAGAATGTAAGTGCATTTTTAGTGCTGTGTAACTTCTTGGAGCATGTTTGGTTCTCCATGTTACTTTGTAAGCCCAGGGCCCTCAGGGATTTGTCAGCTGTTAATGCCTGCCGAGCCTGGCGTGTCCCCACATCCCAACAGGGGGCACTCCTGAGTTATTTCCTAACACACTTCATTTTCCAAAACACTAATAAATACCTTACATCCATCAATCCTACAAGGAGGGTAGGAAATTGATGCTGGGAGGGGTTAAGTAACTTGCTCAAGGTCACTTGATATGTGGCAGAGCCTGAGATTCAGATCCAGTGCGCTTTACCACTACAGAAATATCCTGTCTGGCTTCTCCAGTAGGACCTTCCCCATGCCCTAGCATTCTCCAATACACTCCACCCACCAGCAGTGTGCTGATAAACCTGTAACACCTACTCTCTGCTAGAGGACTGCCTCGATTTGTAGTGTCTTTTCCAATTTTCTACCATGCCAATTTCAAGCTTCAGAGTATCACTGAATTCAGTAGAATGAATGAAGGATTACAGCTTGATCATTGGTCATACAAAAGGCTCCTGAGTGCCAGAACTAGCTGGCCCCAGCACACTACTATCACCTACTGCACCCTTTAAGCTGCCCCTCCCACCTACTCTTTCAAACCCTTTCCTCTGACTGGCCTTGTCCCCCTCATCTGCTCCCTATCCCCTTTCCTTCCTCCCCATGGATCTGCCCTTGTGCAAGATGTAGGTAACAGACTGGGAGAACCCCCCAAGGCTTAGGGAAAAACAAAGCTGCGTGCCGTACAGATCAGCATCTGTTTTGGAGCCTGCACCAAACCAGGAGGCCTTCGGGAGAAAATACTGAGGGAATGGCCACTGAGAAGCTGAAGAGGTGAGGGAATCCAGAGAAGTTAAAACCAGCCTTGGTAATGAACCAAGCCTTGTATGCACATATGAATAATAAAAGAAAAAGGAAAATAAAATAAAACCAGCCTTGGTGGGAGGGAGGAAGGAGGACCTGACCCCCAGAGCCTGCCAATGTGAGCAGGGAGTGATTGACCTCCATCTTCCCCCCACAAACACTCCAATCTCAAGCCTTTTGCTGCCACTAGCTTGACAACATCATTTAGACTTTGTAGTCACCCTGCCAGCACTTCATAGGCACTACTATGCTACCTGCCCCATACCTTTCAAGGTGGATTCAATTCTATGCCCCCAACCCCAGTGTACAGATGACGAAACGGAAGTGATGGCTAATTTACATGTCAACTTCAAATAGACTGGGACATGGAGAACTCAGACATTTGGTCAAACAGTATTTGGAGTAAATGTGTATATTTCTAATGGAAGTAATATTTGATTTGTGTTTGGTTGTTTTTGGAGGGGGGCAGGTTTTTTGGTGACACTGGGGTTTGAACTCAGGGCCTCACACTTGGCCCCTGCACTCTACCACTTGAGCCACTCCGCCAGCCCCTGAGATTAACATTTAAAATTGGTAGGCTGAGTAAAGCTGATGGTCCTCCCTGGTGTCAGTGGGCCTCATCCAATCAGGTGAAGGCTTGCTAGAACAAAAAGCCTGATTCTTCCCATGAGTAAAGGGAGCATCTTCTCCAATTTTCTAATTCTTTAAAACCTGCCTGTTTTAAGGCTGGGACATCAGTCTTTTCCTGCTCTTTCTGAATCTCAAGACTTCCAGCACTCAGACTAAAACGATTCTTTAAGCTCTGCAGTCTCTCCAATTGCTGACTTCAGAGCTTGGGCCTTCTGGGTCTCCATAATGATGTGAACCAAGTCCTCATAACAAATATCCCTCTCTATCTCCTTCCTCGTGCATGTGTGTGCACAAGTGTGTGTATGCAAGTGTGTGCACGTGAGTGCATGTCCATGTGTCCCTTCAGTACTGGATCCCTGGAAACCCTGACTAAGACACCAAGGCCACATAGCTTCTCTTTTCTCACTCCCCCAGTCTTTTACCACTCTTGTCCCTACTCCCCATGCTGTCTGATGGTCCTTTCACTTCTCCAATCTCACGTACCAGCAAATCCTTGCCTCCTCACACCTCCCTGAACTCTTCCGGGTGGTTCCCACTGCAACTTGGACCCATAGGCCCACCCCATCTGAGTAGTCTAGTCATGGAGAGGGACTTAGCCAAAAAAAATGGGACTGTGTGAGATGAATTCTCCCATCCTGTACCCTTACCCCTGATGATCAAGACGCAGTTATTCATTCATGCATTCATTTGTCCCACACATACGTAATGGTCCAGGTGTCAGCCCCATGTCATACCATGTCATGTGGAATGAGTCACAATTCTAGTTCTCTGAGAGCTCCATATTTTACAGAGAGGAGATGAGCCAGGAGATACATTTGGGCAAAGAACCCCCAACAAGTAGTATGAAAGAAATAACAGCCGGATGCCAGTGGCTCACGCCTGTAATCCTAGCTACTTGGGAGGCTGAGATCAGGAGGACTTCAGTTCCAGACTCTCCCGAGCAAATAGAGCACAAGACTCCATCTCTAAAATAACCAGAGGAAAATGGACTGGAGAGGCGGCACTGGTGGCTCGCGCCTATAATCCTAGCTACTCAGGAGGCAGAGATCAAGAGGATCAGTGTTGAAAGCCAGCTCCCGGTAAATAGTTTATAAGACCCTCTCTTGAAAATACCCTACACAAAAAAAGGGCTTAGTCGAGTGGCTCAAGTGGTACAGCACAGCACCTGCCTAGCAAGCATGAGGCTCTGAGTTCAAACCCCAGTCCTACCAAAAAAGAAAGGAAGAAAAAAAGAGGA